GGGGGGGGGGGGGGGGGGGGGGTTTGTCTCTCGGCTGTGGGCGGCGCACCAGGGCATTGGTTGCCGAGGCCGGGATGGCCATCATCAGCCAGGCCGACAAGCCGCGAACGAAGCCCCGGCCATCGGCCTTGACCAAATGTCCGACGATCTTGCCATCAAGCTTGGCCAGACGCATGGTCAGGAAGGTGCGAAACAGTAGCATCGCAGTGTGGCTGGCGAAGATGAAGGATTCCTGTGGTTGCGCATGTATGGTGCAAGTGAAATGCATGTGTGTATGTATGTATGTATGTGTGTGTGTGTGTGTGTGTGTGTGTGTGTGTGTGTGTAAGTGCGAGTTAATGAGCACCAGGTGCAGAGGGGTCTGGGGCCGGACCTTGGAGAGGAGCGGCGGCAGGATGATGGCGAGAATGCGTTCGGCTCGGGACCGAGCGGTGGACTGTGGGACCAGGGGGGTGCAGGGCCCCGCAGCGGGAGGTAGCGCGAGCGTTAGCGGGAAGTGGCAGGGCCGAGCCGGGTCAATGTCGGGGAGGGCGTGACATGCTTTCCAAGCGGGAACCCCCCCCCCCCCCCCCTTCTCCCAGGATCTACCGAACACCGTGTACCTTGTGGCGGGTGATGGCCTGTGTGCTGGTCGACCGGGTGCGGGGAGCCCTTCATTCGGCGCGAGGCCCATCAAACCGAGCAAACTGTCAGTCAGGACCGGCAGTCGACCACATAGTACTCTTGGCAATGTTGAGCGCACTTCTTTTTGGTGTGGAAATTCATGCGATACATGACGGCCGCCATGGCGGCGGCGAGGGCCACCGCCAGCACGTCCTTCCGGCGGAGCATTTTCTTCCGAGGCAGGCGGTGCACGGAGGACCGCGGCGCAGGAGCAGGCGCCCAGACGCAAGGCTACCCCCGGGTAGGAAGGGGCTTGAGTGGGCAGCAAGGCAGGGCGGGGCGGCGTGAGGCGGGGCGAGGCGAGGGGGGAGGGCTCAAAATAAGCAGCGATCGGTGGAGCTGATAGGAAGAAGGTACGGGGCGTTGCCGGCGCCGGAGATGTGCTTGTCTGGCTGAATACTCCCTCTTGAAACAGTTGTGCCAACCTCGAGGCGGCTCGCGTGCTGACAATGACAGGGGGGCACTACCGCGGAAGACGGTGTCTGGGGCTGGACAAATCCTGCCACCGTGCGAAAACGCGATCACACAGGGGTACCGCCCCCCGCCCACCCCCCGGGCTGGGGAGAGGCGAGCTTCCAGCGGGAAGGGCCCGCCGGGCCAATCAGCCTGTATCTCATCCTTGTCCCGCCCCGTCCTCCCTGCTCGTCGGGGTGAAGGGGCGTGCTGCTTGGGAGCACACCCGAGGGGCCCCAGGAACACTGGAGGACACAGTTGGCGGGGCCAGATCCGCGAGGCAGATCTCGGATGATCCGCCTCCGCGCGCGCGCGCACGCACGCACGCACAAAAGCCAACATCTCTCCAGCCATCCGGGCCTGCCGCCAGCCCCACCCTCTGATTGTCGGTGCCGGCCAATTTGCAAGCCCCGCGGATGGCCCCGGGGCTCGGATCGCCTGCCAAGTAGGGAGATGTTTTCACGTCAACCCAAAATGGCGGGGGTAGCGGGTGCCCCCGACACACCTCGCAGATTGGAGGGCGGAGAAAAGGTGCAAAAAAGGACCGCCCATGTCCTGCGGCATGCGATCTCACCACCACCCCCCCCCCCCCCTTTCTCATGCTTGCCAAGCGTTGTGCTCCGATCGAGGAAACCGGACACCAGGGGGACACCCAGAAGACAACAATAAAAGCCTGGCGTTGCATGTGAAAAAGGCCCCATATAAGGGGCAAGTCGGGTGACTCCGTGTGGTTGTGGGGAAGGCCACCAGACCTGCTGGCCCAAATCACCTGCTGAGTGCGGACTGCACGTGCCACTTCCCGTGACACGCCTTGTTCGATTGCATGGCTCCAGGGCCGAATGCGGGGTGTGTGGTGACTGTCGAGCGCCTCGCTATCTCGAGCCCATCATACAGGAGCAGCCCGAGAGGGGGGCGGGGGGGATACGCCCGTGTGCGGGGAGTTCTTGGATCTGCCCTTGGCCCGAGGTCTGGAGGCCCAAAGGGGGATTCCCTGGCAGGCATCTCCCGAGAGCGAAGCTCTTTGCAGCTGTGTATCGAAGAGCATCACTGACGCACCGGTCGGACCTACGACCACGCCTGTTCCGAGGCTTCCTCCCGCACGTCCTTCATTTGCTCCATTTCTTCCCTTCCGCTCGCTTGCTCACTTGTCCCCGGGCCCGAGTTACCTGGCTCTCCCTCTCGAGCGGTGGCATATTCGCCGATTCGGTACGCCCTCGCCTTTCAGCCCCGGAGAGTGCTCCGTACAAGCGGCAAGTTTCCGGCATGGGCTCCATATGTCCAAGCCTCGCTCCTTTGACGTCAGACCGGATCCGTGAG